CAGGGGGTTGGGTATGGGGGTCCTGGGGGCACCTCACTGCCCCTCTGTCTCTCCCTAGGGTGAGCCAGGACCGCGGGGGATCGGCCAGCCAGGACCACAGGTGGGTTTTGGGGTACCTGTGGTGTGCTGGGTTGCTCTGCTGTCACTCACACTCACACTCTGCTTTTCCCAGGGAGACCCTGGAAGCACTGGATCCCCTGGGATACGTGTGAGTGGCATTTTGGGGTGGGAGATGGGACAGCCCGCTGATCCCTGCGAGCAGGGACGTTGTACCCCTGCAGCATCATCCCCCTATGCAGGCAGTGCCCAGTGGGGTCCTGTCACACCACCCTGGGGACTGTGCTGTCCCCTTGGCTCACTGGGGGAACTAACACCCTCTCCTGTCCCCAGGGCCCTCCCGGACCCCAGGGCCCCCCAGGGATGGCAGCAGAGAAAGGTGCTAAGGTAAGGGAGCATTCCCCACCCCTCCATCCCCTCCCTGCCCCCCCACTCCTGCTGTCCTTCCTCTGCAGGGATCTCCGGGGCCCAAAGGTGCCGTGGGACCCCCTGGACCACCGGGGACCAGTGTCACGGGACCACCAGTACGTCCTGCCCTCCAGGATGGGTATTGCCATCCCTCCTTGGCCCTCTTGGTCCTGGCTAAAAGCTGCTGTGCCATGGGCTGAGCCAGGGAGCTTCTTCACCCTCCTCATCCTCCTCTTCCTCACAGGGCCCTGAAGGGCAGCGAGGGCTCCCTGGCTCCAGTGGGCAGCCGGTGGGTATGAGGGTGCCAGGGGGGCTGAGCTGCTGTCCTGGTGCTCACCAGCCATGGGTAGGGGCATGGTGGTTAACCAGGGTCTACCTGCTAATGCTTATCTCCATCTTTCCTCCTGGCAGGGGGAGAAAGGTGCCCGTGGAGAGAAGGTGAGTTGGGATCTGGGTTGGTCTGTACACCTGTGCCACCCTCCTACCCTTCCTGGCTTCATCTCCTCTCTCCACAGGGAGACCCTGGGGATTGTGCCTGCCCCACCAGCCCCCGCCAGGACCCCACCTATGCTGGGATGCCAGTAAGTACCCATGGGCACCCCTGACTCTGCTTCACCCCCATGAGCACCCCTTGACCCTCTTTTCCCCCACTCTCTTATCCCCAGGGAGCCCCAGGGCTATGGAATGGGATGTCCTGGCAGCCACAGCCTGGCCCACAGGTGGGTGATGCCCCCTGAGTGCTGCACCCACCCACCCTCTCCTCACCCCCTGCCTCTCTCTGACTGATTTTTGGGCTCTTGCAGGGTCCCCCTGGAGCCCCTGGCCCTCCTGGCCCTCCCGGTGCCC